GAGGAGCTGGAAGAATTGGCTGGGGAGAGGGAGGTCTGGGCCTCCCTTCTGAAGCTGCTGCCCCCGTGACCCGACCCCGGATAGGTGGAAGAAAATGGATGGATGGATGGAATTTCTTTAAAGAAAGGGCTGAAAGAAGAAATTGTGTGTGGCAGCACTTTATACAGTCTTTTCAGACAAGGCTTAGTTAATAAATGTTTTTTTTTTAGTTTGTTTTGTTTTAAATTAAGACTTGTGTAACATTTGTTATCATTCTTATTTTTATCATGTTAATGGAGGGAGGAAGAAAAAGTAGTATCGGCTTCAAGAATCGGCCAAAAAATATTGGCTGCAGTGTTGTTTTAGTCACTCTGTATTTACGTTTTTTTTTCCTCGTTATTCAAAATACTGTGTGTTAGATGAATTTTAATGATGCAACTTCAAACTAACATGTAATATTCTTTTATGCTATTTTAACCAGACTGTACCTGGCTGCAATTCATTTCAATGAAAATGCACGTCTGCAGGCAACTACCTCATCTGGAGAGCCCATGTAGATTATTCTTTCCCAAGTTCAAGAAGGGAGAAGGCACAGCAAAGCCTATCAGAACTCCTGAAACCCTAATTAAGTCTTAYCACATTAGTCACTTTTAGTACGCCAAATCATCCATACTTTAATTATATCTCCCTTATTCAAAGTCGTGTCACAAGGGCATGTGATGTGTGAAAGTGTTGAATGAGAAAAATTTCCTCACAATGTTAAACAAAAATTACAAAAATAAGAGACACTTTACTGTTTCTACTATGCAAAGACTGTGTACATTTTAATGTTGTTGATGTTTTCCAGACTGCGCTGTGGATTCATCTCCAGTTGTCCCAGACAAGGCCAGCATCTCCACACCACCTCCTGATGCACGCGTCTTCACTACACATCCTGATGCCACATCTTCACACCACGCCCTGATGCCACATCTTCACACCATCCTCTGCACCACATCTGAACTCAGTCCACACCCAGTGGGAGGACCCTTCACAACAGGATCACAATACTTCCACACATCTCGCAGAAAGGACGTGCAGGACAAGATGACTCAGTGTGATGAGGTTGCATATTTGTRACCCATCATATCAAAATGAGGATTAAKYMMATCCCGTTCCCCGACTGCCATTTGGGGAGGGGGTCCTGAAGAAGGGCGGGCCGCTGGGTGCRGTCCTGGGCTGTGGGTGGGCTCGGGGCTTGGACGGTTGCCRGGGGTGGGGCTGGCTCTCCATCCTCCCTGGTGCTGCTTGGTCTCCTGAGGTGTGGCTCTTAGTTCCTGTGGGTGGTCCCCTGGCCGGGGTGGCTGCCGGGTTCCGGGGGGCAGACTGCTGGTGGGGTTCACTTGGTCGTTGGCAGTGTGGTGGGGTGGTCATGGGTGTGGCTTCACTGCAGCGGGGGGCTGGCCGGACGTCCTGGTGCGGCCCAGGCCGGGCCTTGGCTATCTGCTCCTCTCCACCTCAGAATGATTGGGCCTCATGCAAGAACATGTTCGTATTCTTATTTAAATTTCTCTTACTTTTGTTCATACAAAGGGTTCGTACGAACATGCCACGTCAGATTCAACAAACTCTTCAATCTTTAGGAAAAGGGTGCAAATGAGCTGCGTAAATTCCACCTGTTCGTACCCAGCTGCTCGTGCACGCGAGAGGAGATTAGCATAATTACCACTCCAAAAACACCATATAAGGCTATGTTTCCTGTCTCAGATACAACGAAGTGTCCATTCATGAAAAATGACAGTGAAAACTAAAAAGAAGAACTTTATGAGTTCAAAGTTTGAAGTCCTGCTCTCAGAGATCCAGAAAAGAAAATCCGTCATTTTAGCAGKTCATCTGTGGGATAAAATGAGCTGCTAAAAGTATAAACAACTGTGTTAAATCATTTCATTTACCCCCCGGACGTAGAATTTATATTGTTAGTCTAAATTATTACATTTAAAATTATAACTTTAATTCAAGCAGAATAGCCTATTGTCAACATAATTATGGAGTGTGATTTATTTTCAACTCAAAATATCTTCAAACTAACGAAATATAAAGTTATTCGGGAGGAAAACCCGTCTAGATAACAGCAGACTGACTGCTCGTAAAATATATGACAGGTCTGGACCACTCGTGAATTTTGTTCGTATCTGAAAAAATCTTAGAATACGAAAACATTGGTGAATGCCACAAATTCTCCTAAATCACTCGTACGCACAACTTAAGAACAAATCTGTGCGTATGAACGGTTCTTGCATGAGGCCCATTGGGTCTACCTCCTGGGTTTGGGTGTGTGCTGCCTCCAATAGGGGGCAACAATAGTCCTCCATCACTGAGGACTTTGAACAGTGAATGTTTGTAGTTTTTGAGTGGTGTTTTTCTGTACTGGAATTAAACAGTAAATACAAATAAACACTAAAGTTTTTGGTGCAAGATATTAAAGTGTTACTGTGTATAAGAACAGAGGTAGCCAGGGGATGGTGAATGGCGGCCCTGCCCACCATAGATTTATCTTCAGCCACTCCAAATACTTGAGGAAACTACACTTTTAAGCAAAGTAAAACACTAGAAAGCATAGTTTCATTGAAATGATCAGGTAGCTGGTTCACATATACTGTACACCGTATAAGGTAGTGACCATCTTGGATTTTGATATGACAACCCAATTTTAAATAGGGACATTTCTTACATCTAGACGCAGCCACACACCAAAACTGAAGTTKGTACTTTAAGCTCACAAGACAGACGGCTGGATGGAATTTCTATTTCCCTTAAAAAATGAGCCTTTACAAATAGATACAAATCTTGATCCAGTTAGTGTTGATTCTGCTGAGCTTATGCTTGATTGATTTTGCAAATTTTAAGAGTAAAATGGATGGCAAAAAGAACTGAGGCTAGTCTATACTATTGGAATAAATGATGCAAAGTTAATATTTAAGTTGGGGTTTTTTTGGAAGGCAAAAATGATGGGTTCTTAAAACACCAATAAACCAATAATCAGAGACACTGCAGACTGCTCTGTTAACATACAGTATGTGCTTAGCATGTCTCACTTAACATGCAGGGAACTTACAAAAAGATGAACTGACAGAACAGAACTGACCAAACTTTGTGGTTTATTTACAACTTTCAATCATTCTGTTTCAGTCACAACTTTGTAAATATAATCTAAATTCAGACATAGAAAATTAAGTTAAATGTTTTAAAATAGTTTGAAATAAAGCAAACACCATTTAATCTTGTGGAAAATTAAATTAAAATGTTTTAGGAGGTCACAAAACAAACAACTACACTTTGAAATGGTTTTGGTTAGCAGGCTGACACAAATCCATCACATATGCCAACCATCAACCTTGTAGAATCTGCTTCAACTATTCTAACAAATGGCTTTTCCCTAAAGGATACAACAACTCAAAACTACCACAATCTTTCCCCAGTCAGACATATAAATAGCCTGACAATGTGGCCAACAGCTTATGGGGGCAGGAGAAACTTTCCCTCCACCACCACAGAGCTGGTCGGCATTGTCCAGAAACATTCCAGACCATTCCAAATAAACAGCACCCTCACAGCAAGGAAAACCTTAAACAAACATTTGGTTCTCATTTAAAGCATGGGATCATTTGCAGGGAACTCTGGCCTGAGCAGCCAGTACTTGGATCATATGAGGCAAAAACACAGACGCTTCCAAGATTTGGCTTTTTTGTTTTTTTAGGAGGAGGATGCATAACTTGGTGAAAACCTGATTCATTTGTAGCTTAAGTCATGTCAGTTTGATAAAGCATTAGGTTATTAAACTAGTGGGGAAGATTGTGTTATAAAGCTGTCGTCTTTCAGAAACACACAAAAGCTGAAATCTGTGTAACTGCAGTTGTGAAAGTTACATATTTTACATTACAACAAGCAGTCTTCTTCAAGCACAACTCTAACTGAAAAAATATACAGCATAAAAAATGATCAGTGCAAAACAACAATTATTTAAATAAATTA